TTCTGCTTTCTCACTTCTTTCTCTTCCTCTTTGACTCTCTCTCCGGCAACCCCCCCTCCCCGGCGAACCCCCATATCCCATTAACCCCTTCCCCCACCCCTCCTCGCGAACCTAGATCCCAGATTTGTGCATTTTTTTTTTTTTTTTTTGCTTTTCTTTTCTGGGTTGAGATCCCATTAACCCCTTCCCCCACCCCCCGCGAACTCAGATCCACACAGTTCGGTGGTGTTGGGATTGGGAGTGGGGATGAAGATGGTGAAGGGAATGATTTTTGGGAGGTGAAATTTGTGGGATTGGGTTGCAGGGAAAAGGCGAGGCTCGGGTTGGGGGGAATGAGGATTTAACGGGAGTGGGTCGTCGGGGGGGGGGGGTGGGGAGGTGGGATTTGAAGGGAGTGGGTCGTGGGTCGTCGGGGGAAGGGGGATTTAACGGGAGTGGGTCGTCGGGGAGGGGGGTGGGATTTGACGGGAGTGGGTCGTCGGGGGAAGGGGGATTTGACGGGAATGGTTCGTTGGGGGGGTGGGAGGAGGAGGTTGCTGCGCTAGGTTTCTGGGGGGATTAATGGGGAGGTGGGTTTGAGATTAATTGGTTTCTGGTTTTGGGGGTTGCGGGTAAAGCTTTCAGGTTTTTTTTTTTTTTTTTAAATTAATATTTAGAAGATTAGATTAAAAAAAAATTAAAAAATTATTTTTTTTGCCACGTGGCAGCCTCATCAGCACAAATGTGGCAGCCACGTCAGCATTTAACAGACTAATGGATGGAAAATCTAACGGAGGTGTTATTTTGAAATAAAATGGTACTGGATGTATGAAAGTGAAATGTTTTAAAGTTGTTGTATAAGGTTGTAATTGACCTCAAACCTGAGGGGCTACTATGTAATTTACTCATTTTTTTACATATATATCATTCAATTTCTTAAATATTATAAGTACAAAATAAATAAATTAAAATCTACTTAGTAAATATATATACCATTGAAATCGATGGGATACGCATTGTACGAAACTAGTTTCAACGATCCAACCGTCAAACTTGTTTGTATATGTTTCGAGATTGTATACGCCAAAAATCGCAAAAAACAAACATGCAGAGATCAAGTACCAAGACAAACATTTGCGACGGCTATAAACAAAAAATCACGATTTAACGGTTATTTTAACTCCGAATTTGATGATCTTTTACAGCTACACTCTTTAACCCTATATGCATACAATGTACTAATTTGATCGTCAATTTAAAACATTTACACAAGTAGGTACCACAAAATCTTATGTTATGCTTAATGAAAGTATAAATAAATTCCAAGTGTTAGTGAATCTAATAATCTTTTGATGGCAAACGCATTGTACGAAACTATTTTGAACGATCCAACCGTCAAACTTGTTTGTATATGCTTCGAGATTGTATACGCCAAAAATCGAAAAAACAAACATGCAGAGATCAAGTAACAAGACAAACATTTTCGACGGCTATAAACGAAAAATCACGATTTAACGGTTATTTTAACTCCGATTTTGATGATCTTTTACAACTACACTTTTTAACCCTATATGCATACAATGTACTAATTTGATCGTCAATTTAAAACATTTACACAAGTGGATACCACAAAATCTTATGTTATACTTAATGAAAGTATAAATAAATTCCAAGTGTTAGTGGATCTAGTCTTTTGATGGCAAACACATTGTACGAAACTATTTTGAACGATCCAACCGTCAAACTTGTTTGTATATGCTTCGAGATTGTATACGCCAAAAATCGAAAAAAACAAACATGCAGAGATCAAGTAACAAGACAAACATTTTCAACGGCTATAAACGAAAAATCACGATTTAACGGTTATTTTAACTCCGATTTTGATGATCTTTTACAACTACACTCTTTAACCCTATATGCATACAATGTACTAATTTGATTGTCAATTTAAAACATTTACACAAGTGGATACCACAAAATCTTATGTTATACTTAATGAAAGTATAAATAAATTTCAAGTGTTAGTGAATCTAATCTTTTGATGGCAAACGCATTGTACGAAACTATTTTCAACGATCCAACCGTCAAATTTGTTTGTATATGCTTCAAGATTTTATACGGAAAAAATCGAAAAAAAACAAACATGCAGAGATCAAGTAACAAGACAAACATTTTCGACGGCTATAAACGAAAAATCACGATTTAACGGTTATTTTAACTCCGATTTTGATGATCTTTTACAGCTACACTCTTTAACCCTATATGCATACAATGTACTAATTTGATCGTCAATTTAAAACATTTACACAACACAAAAGAAAAAGGCAATGCAAGAACCCAAAAAAAAAAAAAAAACAAAAAAAAAAAAAAAAAAAACAATTGCTTGTACGTCGCGCAAAACATCTTTGCGTGACCTAGGAACGTATGTCACGCAAAGATGTTTTGCGCGACGTACACTTACGTCGAGCAATTTTTTTTTTTTTGCTTAAGAGTACAAAATAAATAAATTAAAATCTACTTAGTAAATACATATACCATTGAATTTGATGGGAAACGCATTATACGAAATTGCTTCGAGATCGTGTACGTAAAAAATCACAAAAAACAAATATACAGAGATCAAGTAACGAGACAATTGATAATAGAATTCACGTTTGCGTGTTTGAAAAACTTCAACTTGTGATTCATAATTGTCTAATTGAGAATTCCACTCCATTAACTAATATTCCATTTGCCCTTTTTCTTAAGAAAGATATAGACTAGTAGTTACGGAAATAGGTAATTGATGAATAGATACAAATAGACAAGAAGAGAATGAGTGTCTTGTTCTTCAATTGAATCTTTTTGGGATTCACTTATGTTAGTGACCCGTAAAAATGCACGGATGGTAAATGTAGAGACTCGGGATCCCAAAAGTATATTGAAATAACGTCACGATTACAAGTAGTGTTTCACCACTTATTATTTTGAACATAAGATTTAAGAATTCCCACGAGGTGAAACGAAATAGTAATTTGCAGGCCGAAGCAGTATAGCATGGCCGCTTACAGGTCCTGCCTTTATACAATAAATCCACCTTTCTTACACATTCTGCAAAGCCACAGACTAAAATTCACCAAAAAAATACATTCGGTAAGTTACACTTTTAATTAGACTAACCATGTCGATTCCAGCACCAACTCCAGCTTGAACTGAATATGAATAGTTAGCTTTGGGAGGAGATGTAATCCTGTCAATACCCTCCCAATCTGATATGACAAAACCCTGATAGCACCCTCCAAAAGAAACTAATCATGCTCGGCACTAGTAATAATCTAATAAACACAGTAGACAATTTATGTAAAATGACTTTCCTTACCCTGAAACGTCGTAGCTTGTCCTTAAGGTATCCGGTTACAAGTTCTTTATTTGCATGCCTTTTGTTTCCATTCCAACTCGAGTAAGCACCATAACTGTTGCAACACCCTTGCGGATGGAATTGAGGTATGCAGGCATGTGAATGCTGAGCAATCCATTCAAATCAATCACAGTGTTGTTCTCATTGATGCCCTTCGTTGTGCCACCATCCCCAACATAATGCTTAGCACAGGCCGCAATCTTCCCTCTAGAGAAATGGTAAGGAAAACGAGTTACGCCCAATTTTCTTTATGTCCAGATATTTGAAATAATGATAGAATACATCACAGGTAGGTTACATATACAATTGATTTTTCCTCTCCATAAAATGGGGGTAAGGCTAGCCAACATTCACCTCTCCCAGACCCTGAGTAAAGCGGGAGCCTTGTGCACTGGGTACGACCTTTTTTTAATTAAAAGACGGTTATAGGTCAAATTCTAGTCTAAAATATAACTACAAGAACACCAAGGCATAGTCTCAGTCTGTCACTTTCCTTTTATAAATGTTTTGCATCCAACCAATCGAGCCACAGCTAAGGCCTTCTATGAACTCAAGTATTAGTACTCAATCAAACCTTGACCACTAATCTCTAACCAGGCCTACCATGTGGTCATTAACTCATTATGATCAAAATAAATATGCTTGTAGAGGTACTTGTCTGAGACTCTCAAACTATTCATGGATAAGAACCATCACAACGCAAATAATTCACCCTAAACAGTGAAAACAATAAAAAGATCTCAAGTAGCAAATTTTTTTTTAAACTTGAAAGAGAAAAAAATTAAGTCTTACTTTGCAGTAGAAACATAGGGAGCCCCCTTTCGAGCAGTGGGAGGCATATCTCCTTGCAGACCAGGTATTATCTCAGTCATTGCTTGAACAATCTTATGGTCTTCACTATAGCTTTCGTAGCACCTACCCCATCTCGGATCTCTGCAGACCTGCAAGAACAGTAGTAATACATAGTTTTAGTGGAATGCTTGGTCAAGTTTTGGAGTTTCTAACTATGGCTTTCATATAATAAGACTGCTCAATTACCGCAATACATGGGGCAAAGACATAAGGAATTCCGGTTGCCCTGACTTCTAGGGCAGTTGCTTCCCCAATTCTCTTAACAAGATTAGGATCTCTGAAACGGAAAACACACGAAATGACGCATGAGTAGTGATTAGAAACATCAAACTACATAATTTGACCGAAAGATCATAAACGTTCTGTAATGCTTGAATGAAGCCTGTTGACTTGGACTTATTTCGGTGAGAATGAATGTGACTTGCCTGGTGACTCACAGTCCAACATTATGAGGGAAAATAGTAGCATTGTAGACGTTGTTGTGGCCGTGAACCGCATCAATCCCATAGATCATAGGAATCCCAAGACGGGTAGATAGAGATCCCTTTTGGAGGCCATTCACCAGATTGACCCATGCCTCAGCTGAAGCTTTTGGGGCTGGTACATTCCCACCACCACTAAGCACACTCCCTGTAGAAAAAACCATTATCCCACTAAGACATATACAAATTACAATACAATCATTTCATTTGCTACTAAAACCAACATTGACATTACTGTAATTCCACCATTTTCCTTCTCTGCACGCAAGTTCAAATCTCCCCCTCCGTAGTTTAGTTAGATTAGATCAGAATATCGATCGAATAAAAAATTCAGCACTGACAAACAGAACAATACGCATATGGGGTGAGATGAAGAATTGAAAATGAGGGTGAAGATTGTTTGGTTACCAATAAAATACTTGTTCATGACATCAGGGGTTGCAACAGTTTGCTTGATCTGCGTCATTTGACCAATCTTTTCGGCGATCAGCACCACCTCATTTCTAAATTCCTGTAACCCTTGTCCTGAAACCCTTGATAGCCTTTTCACCGCAATTTCTTGGCCTCCAAGAAACATTCCCTGGCAACAAAATCCCTTACATATAAATCTATAACCACAACGGAGAAACAGTAATGACAAACAAGTGTTGCTATATAAGGTGATTCGAGTGCTAAGGAATGGTAAACAACTGTTCAATTACCTTGTAAACAGGCCCGTATCCCCCTTGTCCAAGCTTGTTTGCATTTGAGAAATTAACTGTAGCGTCTAGTATAGTTTGCATATCAAAAAAAGGTACATCTATACCTTCCTCTTCCTTGAACTCGCTTGTGTCTATCAACTCCTTGACTCTCCTTTCACTATCAAATTGTCCTCGTCTTATTTGATCTAATACCGGGAATCGAAGAGATTTATTCTCATCCACTATGAACAACTCTGCAGATCTTTCATGACATTAACGCATACATAAAAACAGTTACCTCGTTTGTTGTTCATATTTCTTCGCCATATATATATGGAAATGACGATGCACGCCAGAAAAATCACACTTAAAAGCACCGCTACAATTATCACACTTGAAGATTACCTTCTGCAAGAAAGAAAAGAAAATACTTTTTATTGTCATATCATCATTTTTATTGTATTGTACAATGTAAAACGATTCTGTAGCACTCGTATCAACATAAAAAATTGATTTGCAATAGGTCACATGCATGACCGAAATTTTATGCCTAACATGATTCTCACCTTGATTACATCTTAATATCAAGCCATGCATCTTTTCTTTCCATCTCGTGCACGCTTGCAAATTGAATGTGCCCAATCCCTGCAGTCTGCAGATGTTGTACAGGTTGGTTCCTTTGGTAGCTCCCAACCCATCTCCCCTACATTAGGACTTCCTGATGACAGTACTTCAGAACTAAAATTACCCAGGTCAACATTACACAGACTGATGACATCAGGGGTTGCAACAGTTTGCTCGATCTGCGTCATTTGACCAATCTTTTCGGCGAGGGTCATTCGCTTCATGAGGTCTCGAATTCGAGCATTCAATGGCTGCTTTGGATCTTTATATTTCAAGTAGTCGGCTTCTGTCAGTCTCAGAGCTGAGAGTAAGCTTCAGCCTCCTGCTTTTTCCTTTACAAGTTTATATTAATCCTCATCCGAACTACAATAATAACTCTCGCTATCCTCACTACTATCATTTCCGGATTCCCATTCATCTTCATCTTCGTTTGCCTGTTCCGGTGCATTGTATTGAGGCAGGTCACCAAGGTCAATTGATATTTCGAATTCAGGAACTCCAGGTACGTCAAACGGTTCTTGGACAATATTAGTATCCCAGAGTGTTTCTTCACCAAGTTCTATCGAAGATGATAACTGTTGGTCAGCGACGTTGTCATCATGATCTAATTCTGGAATATCATATAACCCTCTTCGATCAATCTTCTGAACAACTTTCCAACCATTGCCAGCTTTGGGGTCGTCTAGATAGAATATTTGTTTCGCCATAGTTGCCAAAATGTATGGATCTTCATCGTACCAATGTCTCGTAGTGTTTACTGACAGTAAACCATGGTCTCGCTTAACACTCGTTCGGTTATGTGGGTTTGTATCAAACCAAAGACATTTAAACAGTATCACTTGATACCTGTCTTTGTAAAGCAATTGTACTACACTAGTTAGTTTGCCATAAAAATCAATGTTTTCACTGTCGCCCGCACCTGGGACATGGACACCACTATTTTGAGTAGACAACTTGTCATCACGTGTTGCCCCTAAGAACTTGACCCCGTTGACATGACAACCTGAGAACAATTCAACGTAAAGCGGTCCTCTCGCCGAGTTATATAATTCTTCATCGTAAGAGGGTGAATTCAATTCCTTCAATTTCTTCATCTAATATAACATATACAAAAAGTTAACCTATTAGTGTAACCAAATTTAAAGACGGGCAAGAACAAGTTGGAAAATATGCTCAATTCAAACCACATACAACTTACATGTGCGTGAAACCACGAAGGAAACAAGTCACGGTGCTTCTTGGCATATAAATGTGAAGGATGTTCTCGCTTCATCAATTGTTCATGCTCTTCAAGGTATGGCAAAGCCTCGTCACAATTGTTGAGTACGAACCAATGCGCTACCTCCATATCTTTTTTGGTAAACGATTCGCCTTTTACAGGATCGCCGAATGGTCGTGCAATTTGGGCAAAAACAGACAGTTTCTCTTTTCTGACACCACCGTCATTATTGCGTTGAGGACGATTGAAAGTTGTCTCAACATCTTGAAGATACATTGCACAAAAAGTAAGTGACTCATATGCGACCCATGCCTCCACAAGTGATCCTTCGGGCTTTGCCCTGTTTCGGACACATTTTTTCAACTCACCAAGATATCTGTACAAATAAAAGGTATGCTACAAATTATTCAAAGCGTTTGTTGATCATGAATATGTTATATATATAAACGCTTAATTAAGTACCTTTCTATTGGATACATCCATCGACAGTTCACTGGTCCTGCAAGCAATGCCTCATCTGGCAAGTGAATCATCATGTGAATCATACTTGAAAAGAAAGCTGGGGGAAATATCTGTTCGAACTTGCATAAGACGTTCACAATGTCGTCCTGCAATTGTTTAACATTCGACTTCCGCAAACACCTTGCAGTCAACTGTGAAAAAAATCTCGACAATAACACGATTGGTTTCACCACATCAAGAGGCAATAAGTGTCGAATACCAACCGGAAGAAGGCGTTGGAGTATCACATGACAGTCATGACTCTTCATGTTTGAAAATTTACACCCCCTCACGTTCACGCAACGCGAGATATTGGAAGCATACCCATCTGGAAACTTTACAGAAGAAATAAAGTTGAAAAATTCTTTCTTCCCATTCGGCTGTAAAAAAAGGATGACCTTTCTTCTCTGTACCACCGACTCTCTTCATCCACAAGGATGACCTAATGCCCATTCGTTCCAAATCGAGGCGAGATTCGATCGTGTCCTTTGTTTTTCCTTCAATGTCTAGAATTGTCCCAACCAAAGTATCAAACACATTTTTCTCAATATGCATAACATCAAGGTTGTGTCTCAATTTTAACTTTGACCAGTACGGGAGCTCAAATAACATACTCTTATGCGTCCAGTTCAGATGTGTACTTCGTCTGGGCTTACTGACGTTTTTTCCGAAATGACCAAATTCAAAAAGGTTTAACTGATCCAAAATCTCATCTCCGGACCATTCTCTTAGTCTTGGCCGAGTCTCTTTTGTGCCGTGGAAGGCTTTATCGTTCTGGCGCCACTCGTTATCCCAAGGGAGCCATCTACGATGACCAAGATAACAAACTTTTCTCGCATGCCAAGACGATGTTACGTTTTCCTTGCATATTGGACATGCCATATAACCCTTAGTCATCCACCCAGAAACCATTGCATACGCGGGAAAATCGTTTACTGTCCACATCACTACCGCTCGCATGGTGAACATCTGCCCAGTATACTTATCGTACGTACGAACACCGTTTTCCCATAAATCTTTTAGCTCATCAACCAACGGCCGCAAATAAACATCAATGGACTTTCCTGGATCTTCGCCAATTAATAGAGTCAACATCATGTATTCTTTTTTCATGCACTTCCAAGGTGGCAGATTATAAGGAAAAACAACGACTGGCCAAGTGTTGTGGGTTTGGTCTAAAACACCGAACGGATTAAATCCGTCGGTGGCAAGTCCCAATCTAACGTTGCGTGGATCGGCTGCAAAATCAGGGTACATCCGATCAAATCTTTCCATGCCTCTCCATCTGCAAGATGCCTCGTAACATCGTCATTTACCCGTCCTTCTTTATGCCATCTCATGTCGGTTAAGGTATGCATCGACATGTACAATCGCTGCAACCTAGGCTTCAATGGAAGATAACGTATTACTTTTTGTGGAATCTTGTTCTTTCTATTCTGTGATGTCATTTTAAACCTCGGCTCATTGCAGACAGGGCATTTATCAAACTGTTTGTTCTCCGTATAGAACAATATACAATTATTTACACATGCATGAATTTTTTCATACCCCAATCCGAGACCCTTCAACACTTTTTGGGCACTCTTATGATCTTCAGGTAAACAATTCTCCTTTGGAAGCATCCTTTTGATAACTCCAAAAAAGTAATCAAAACACTTGTTTGACAAACCAAACTTGATCTTGCCATGCATCAACTCCACAATTACTGTGAGCACCGAAAAGTTCTCGCAACCCAGATATAATTCTTGCTTGGCATTTTTCAATAGTTTTTCATAGTTTTTGAATGCCTCACTGTCCATGGTTGGACGACCATCATCCCCCTTCATGATTGGTGTTACTTGAGGCGTATGGATAAACGTCATTTAGAATATTCATAACTTGTTCACTATGATCCACATTAGATTCAACAGTCTCCACTCTTGTCACATATGAAGACGAAGCTTGGTCTAATCGTTCTCCATGATGATACCAAGTAGTATAGGTCTCGATCATCCTATTTCTTACTAAATGAAATCGAACATTTTAGAATGTCTCCCACATTGAGTTGTTACACCTTCTACACGGACATCGGATAGTTGAACCTAGGTTGTGTCTAGTTGCGAATTCAATGAACTCATCTATTCCATCCAAGTACTCAACAGCACATCTATTATGATTATGTATCCACTGTTTGTCCATTTTGTCTACAATCCCAATAAAAGTACAAGAATTACAACAACTTCAACTATTGTCTTGTCACCTTATTCCTCCGGTAAGGGCCCTATCCCATTCAGGAATGCACATTTATGTCTCGTAATTTACGATTTCAATGGATTAAATTTCGACATGAGCAAATTTCGGCAGCATCTCCTTACAGTTCTTCAAGTGCACACCGTAGATACATAATATCCACCGTGTACTCGAAGAACATTAGGAAATGTTACAAAATTTCCACTATCGAAACCTAATTTGTGAACCGCAAACTACAACACATAACTACGCATTCCCAAACTATCCAAAAAATGGGACAATTCAAGAATTAATTGGATTGTAGTCATGCTTTCGCATCCATGCACGAAATCCAACTAATTCTCAAATGGGAAACTAAGCTTTTCTTGAAAAAAAAGTGTACGAAGTTAAGTAGTATTAACTTCGTACAACACAAAACAATTTTGTAGGTGATGTACAAAAATATGTGCATACAAATAAACTAAATCACAATAATTACATCTCAAATGTAGTTAAATTTCAAATGTAGTTAAATTTCTCTACGACTTTATTTTCATTGTAATATAAAGTGATTTATGCACCCTTTATTTCACTTTACGTATCTATAAGCAATTGGGTCTTGCAGCCAAATAGTTCATTCATTTTATAATCCTTCTAAAGTTACAAACTGAAAGTGCTTATTCATCATTATAATCCACCAGATAAACATTCAGCTAATTAAAAAAAAATAACGCATTGTAGTTGGTTTGATAAGTTGTGTCCTAAAATTAGAAAAGTTCCCTAAGTGGTTTGACTGAGAGAGTGTGAGTCAGTTACCTGTATAATGCAATTGGTTGGCCTAAAACGGGAAGATATTGCTTTGGCATGCTGGCCTAGTAGCACAAACATAACAAGAAAACATCTTAGACTTCATTTTCATTGTAATGTAAAGCTGCAAC